ACACCTGCTGTTAACAGAGTGTATTTACATAGAGAAAGAAGGTAGGAGGCACACTAGATACTATATACACTTATAGATAAATATATATTTTATAAGCATAAATAAACAAGCTTAATACTTTATTAAATACTAGCTACTCGCCTCGGCTTCGTACAGGTGTACATGTATTATATATATAAACTTTCTTCTAGAAGCACTCTAACGCTTCAAAATCCGTTGCGTACGTTTAAAGATTTAAGCCTACATAGGGACGGACAGACAGTGACAGCGACTTTGTTTTATACTGTGTAATGATGCCAAAATAATAACGGCTTCTCCGATTTCTAGATTGAAAATATAAATATAATTAGCCTAAAACAATGTACTAAAAGATTACAGTAGTTTCAGAAATTCACACTATCTTTATAAAATTAGTGTCAAATTAGTGTAGATACGGAAATCATGTTTCCAAATGGTAATATTATTCAAAACATTAAGTGATCAACTCTTTACTATGTTTCCTTTCTATTTCATTGCCCTACTTTCAACTGGATTGTGGAACTACTTTTAAAGGAATACAATGTTATTTCTATCCGTCCCTGGTACAGCGCTAATAGAATTCAATTGTGGAACCGATACAGCGATAGTCTTTTACTTTAACAGTTTTATCTGTTGCAATAAAGATTCAATTTATTTACAAGCTGTTAGATTTTTATTCCATTAAACTAAGAGGAAACAGAAAACAATAATTTGTTGCAATATTTACAATTAACTTTGTTATTGAATCTCACGGTTGTATTCTTAAAAAAGGAAGTCGGCAACATATTTATGGGGTTTAAATTAAATTAGGGTATAAACGTTTGTATGGAAATTCGCCATTTGATGCTAGAACTAGTATCTTTTTGATATTTTTACTTTATTTGGTCAAGGTCACTATTCCACGCGGACGAAGTCGCGGGTTCAGCTAGTATCTAATAATTATATGTAATTATATCATACCACGACGCCAATAAGATATTTCTAATATTCATATAATATTAGAAATATCTTATTGGCGCCCTAAGTATACATCGAGTAATTATTATTGTATTATATGCTTAACGATATTGTATTTCATAAGTAAAATATATTATTAGGTATATAATAAATTTCATATTTTTCTGAAATATAAAATGAGAATGACCAAATCTATGCAGCTGAATCTAATTCCATTTATTTTTGAATCAACGTTGCAGGTTGTAGGTATGTTATATATATCTATATTAAAGTTATTATAAAAAGAGCTGGATTTTCAGTAAATGCTTTAATGTAGTGAGGTGTGAACCCAATCTAAGAACACGTAAGTGTATGTTTTATCAAAATCCATCAAGAAATAATCGAGTATATTTTCTATAGATCAACATACGCATCAAATTGAAAACTTCTGTATTTTATTTTATGTGTTCTTTGTTCTTCTTTGTTATGCTACGTTGATGTATAAACGCATTGATAAAATATAGAACAAAAATAAACGGTTTCCATGCGGGTGCAGGCCACGAAAACTGATACTGCGTAAATATATCATGTCATGGTACTTTTCTCTTGTTTTGTTTGCAATAATTCGATACAGCACGATTAAAAATATAAAGCACCTATAGACAGAGAAGACAGTCATAATAAGCACTTATATAAAATGTTTTTAATTATATAATAAGTTATTTATATCTTTCTAGCTTCCCGCGGTTTCTCTCGCATGCAAATAGCCTATGTGTTTTTGTGATGTATAATTATTATAAATTATTTTATTTAATTTGAGTCCTCTACACAGTTAATTTTATTTTCTTTTATATGAAGATTATTTCTTCATGTTTATATGTAACATTTTACTAAAATCCACTCAGTAGCTTTTGCGTGAAACAGTAACAAACATACATCCATCTATCCATCCATACTCATAAACTTTCGCATTTATAATATGGGTAATATGTAATATACTTGAGGAATATAATATTTGTTTTATGAAATCACATTGTTATGTATAAACATCCTTAAACTTTTTTCTATATGAATATAAATTGATGAGCCATTGTTCAATAAATCTTCTGAAAATTGAAGCCCCGACTACCGAATGTGAGTCGGTAGAGGTCTGATTTATTTGATGAACGCGTACGTAGTTTGCCTGTACCTTTATAGTAGGCATTCATAGTCACGATCTCGTTTATGTATGAATCTCTCTAATAAAACAGATAACAACTTTTAAATAGTATACTGATATAAATACATAGTAGCATAGTATATGTCGATGATGTCGGAAAGGTTGAAGAGTAACCGTTTATTTGTATGGGAATGTAATACCTAGTGATGATAATATTTTAAGAAAGGTGTTACATTTGAATGTGTGTGATTATAAGGGCAGAGGAAAACCGAAAAAGAGATGATGGACTGTGTTTAAGATGATATGTTTAAAAAAAGAGTAAATAACGAGAGGATTGCGAACAGGCAAGAATGGATATATATATATATTTAGATATATAGTTAAAAACCAATGAGCAAAATTTGAGAGTTCTAATATGTTAATAATATTCTATAACTATTTAGTATTTTCGTGTATACTTATAATTCGCTTGTAAAAGATTTAAAAATGATTTGAATTGGCAGATTTCACTTTATACTGAGAGATATAAATTAACTAAATTCTATATTAGCATAGTATAATAATATGTAGATATGAAATATGTATAAGTCAGGTGTATTCATACACTACCAAAGAAAAACGTTATAAAGTATTTACTTTGCTCTAACAGTGGGTATGAAAGAAAAACAGTGTGTTATCTTAACAACTGATGAAGATATTTTTTCAGTTATACATTGTACCATAAATATAGTTTATTTGAATATTTTGTGTAACTCCTACCCTATTCACCTGACACACTTTATAAATAGAGTGGCGTTAGATCCAGCTTCATAGTGGAAGTGCTACAAACCATAATTAAATTAGTATGCAGCCGGTTATAGTCCTGAAACGTGCGAATGCAGTAATTGCTGGAGCGCAATGATTATTTTTGTAGAGGTTTTTAATGTATTTTATCAAATAAAAATATCTTTATTTCGTCTGAAAAGTCATACGTAATTTAGAAGGCAAATGGCATGCAAAATTAATATGGACCATTTGTTGTGTGAATAAGAATAGTACCTATACTTATTTCTATTCAAATTTTAATTGTTTCACGGTTGACTTATATAATTTTAAATATTGTAACATAAAGGCATCTTCCTTTTGAATGTTTATAGCTTAAGCATGAAAATTAACATAGGATATTATTTATACATATCTACTACATTACATTAATTTAACAGTACGCTCATAACTTTCAAACCACACTACCGCACTTAGACAGTGCAACATTGTGATTCCAGAGTTATACGAAGTTGGTGTAAGTGTATACACTTACCCAAGTATTCATTAGAAGTACAAGCATCCTAGGTTGGTCTCTTTTGTTTCATGCATGCAAATCAATGCAAATTGGCATACTAATTGAATAATCGATAACTATCAGAGTTGCAAATGTGCTCCACGCATCACCGGTAAAATAATTATAGATTCTATTTATAGTAATAATGTACAGCTAACTTGAATTACGAGGGAAATATAATAGCTTACAGTTTAACGTAAAGATAGAAGTGCTAATTGGGACTCAACGACTTTATTTGAGGCCGTAAAGCCGAAATTAGAAACACGAGGAAGTAAATTTCTTGAGTAATCTAAATAAGAGAAGGATTTTTTGAAAAATCCACATTTGCGTCTAAAATAGAGAATAAGGTTTGCATTTCTATAAGAAAGAGAGATAAATAAATATTAATATAATACAAGAATTATTATTTATCTTAACAAAAATTGTATTTACTGTACACAATACATATTATACTACAGTATTTGTAAAGTTGGGAATATGTGAAACGAATAATGGCCACATATACCGAACATACTTGAATCTTATTCAGGTAGTATTCAAGAAATGCGCACTGAAATGCTGGAAAATAAATAATATATTCTTCTTGTGTAAATCGAATTGGCTGAAGCTGCATTCCGCTTGCGGAATATACAAAAATGATTGAATTGTTCTCTTCAAAAGTGTTTAAAATTTATATTGAAATACAGATTTTTAAATTTTGTGTCAGTAGGTAAAATAATCTTGTTAATTTTAAAATAATACTACTACAGAAAGATTTACTTAACTTGAGCTTACTTTATCTGGGCTATTTGGTATAATAAAACCTTTAGATTATGAAAATAAATGCAATAATTTATAATTATTGGGTCTAATTTTCATTTTATAGGTAGTGGTGGTGGGTACAATTTCATTGGTTGTGGATTCGAGTCTATTGCTATATAAAAAAAATTAATCCCATACAAAAAAAATAATGGGCGTATCTTTTTTATTGATTTAGATATTTAACATATATACAAGATACGTATTATTTTTAGCCGACAAGCGTAAACTCCTACTACGAATTATTTATTAATATAAGACTTCATACATCGGCCTCTTGAGTCATATTTTTATCGCTATCCCTACCGTCCAGTATGGATAGCTACTTCGGTTCAGAAGAACACAGTATATTTTTTTAATTAACAAAAATAATAACAATAAATAAACGTATTAACCCAGTAAAAAGGGAGATATATAAAATATATATAAATGATAATAATAATAATAATACTTGGTTTCTTTGGCCCGTAAGTTTGGAAAAAAACCAGCAAAAGCTGAGAAAGTGCGACTATAATAATAATGCTTTATTTGTACAACCACAAGATTAAAAAGGAGAGCTATTAGCTAGGTAATTGAATGGCAGAAAGTTGCGCAATACAAAATGAGGACCCTGATATTCCAAACTAGGTATTACACCTGTGCTATTGTATCAGTGCTCTCTTACATTTATAAGACGCAGATATTTAATGGTATATGTAGTGTAAATAATGCAAGCCAACCGTATTTTTTGTCTTATCTTATATATCTTATAAGTATTGTAATGTTACTTACCGTCAGTGGGAGTGGTCTGCTGGCTGGAATTGATCCTGGGCCTCTCTTCTCCGGCGGCGATATGTTTAGCGGTCCGCCGCGCCACTGGACGCAACTCTCTGTCTACGTCACTACCCTCGTCCTCTTCGTAACTGTACTCCATTTCTGCAACATTAAATCAATATTATAATCAAATTATGACTAATGTTTTTGTATTCTCCCTACAATTATTAATTAATAGCTATACCCGCGACTTCGCTCGCGTGAAATTTTTTAACACAGGCTATGTGTTATTCTGATGTATAAGCTATACTACTGCAAAGTTTCATTAAAATCCGTTCAGTAGTTTTTGCGTGCAAGAGCAACAAACTTTTATAAGATTATTACAATTAAATTAATATTTGAATCAATTCTTAATTATATAACACATTTTATGTTAAATTTATAGAAAACCTTGTCCATGGACAGATATAGCCATTTTATTGATTTCCATTTTCATTGAACAAGCATTTCTGAATGTTTATTTATAGGTAACTTAAAACCATTCAAGTTGGCTATAAATAATCATTTAGAAATTTATATCCTGTGGGTCACCTGGTCTTTATGATAACTAGCCGATGGTCCACATTATTTACGGTGGCTATTGCATATACATGAACAGGGTTGTCACGTCCTTACATGACACACGTAGCAATTTCTATGTGTTGCAATTTCTAAGAACAAAGTCATCACGCATACACTGTAATATTTTGACGTTAAAATTCAAATTCAAATTCAAAAATCATTTCTTCATGTAGGACATTTTAGCCGCTTATGAACGTCAAGTTTTTACATTATAATTTTTTCCCCTACCAATACAATTGAGAAGAGCTGGCAAGAAACTCAATTGAATTACTTTTTTTTTAAAAGCCAGTTTATTTACAATGTATAGGTATTTATATACCTAGGTGTCTTTAAAACGAAAACCTAATCTACAAAGCAATCTGCTCGGAAAAGGTGAGACCATGCACTTTATACGATAACTTAAAAATAATGGTCATGATGATACTTTTCCGGCAAAAGTTTCTAAAATACCCGAAGCCAACCCGCGCAACTTCGTCTGTATCACACTTACTTTATATTTATCATTATATTTCGCCCAATTTACACAATATCTATTTAATTAATATGCTATTCTAATGTATAAGCTACATTACTGTAAAGTTTCATCAAAATTCGATTATTACTTTTTGCGTGAAAGAGTAACAAACATGCATCCATACTCGCAAACATTCGCGTTAATAATATTACTAGCTTCTACCCGCGGCTTCGCTCGCATTGAATCAAAAATATTTGTTTTTTTAATAAAAAAGTATCCTATGTTCATTCTAATACCTCTAAGAACATATGTACAAAATTTCGTGATGATCGGTTCAGTAGTTTTTGCGTGAAAGCGAACAAACAACCCTACTTTCACATTTATAATATTACTAGCTACTCGCCCCGGCTTCGCACGAGTGTACATGTATTATTCATATAAACCTTCCTCTTGAATGACTCTATCTATAAAAAACCGCTTCAAAATCCGTTGTGTAATTTTAAAGATTTAAGCCTACATAGGGACAGATAGCGACAGCGACTTTGCTTTATACTATGTAAAGATTAAGGCTTAAGGACTAAGATAAGGATAGTATGAAATGTTGCAATATAGCTTACTATATTGCAACATTTCATAGTATTCTCTAAATGTCAGACGAAATGTTTACGAGAGAATTCATGCATATTACGCGATATTGATTCGTTTAATAAAAATGTAAGTTTCTTTTCTATTGCGATTTACCGACGTTGAGTAGACTACGGTTGAAATCTTTGAATGCAATTTTTATTCTAATAAAAGAATGCTTGCTGCGACGGCAATCTGCTATCTTCAATATTTAATATTCTTTTCCTCTAGATCACAATTTTCCACTGCATAAATCAGGTTAAGAATAATTGTAAATGCATTTAATATTTAACACTGTAATATATCTGGAAATGAATTTCCGGAAATATAAAATAATTTTATTAAATTTATTATTCCGTGAAGTGATGGTAATACGAGATAACAAGTAATACGAAGCGGATTAAAATAAAATATATCCGTAAATGCGTAGTTGCAACGAGTATTAAACTAAGTGCTAACAATTACTATTTGCAACGTATTTTACAGCTTACATTTATATTTCGTGAATAACCATTACCGCTTTTTGATGGTTATTCCGTATATTTAATAAAACTATCAATTTTTTAAATTACTAAGGTTCTACTGTCAAATATGATAAATATTAACTATGAATTTAAAACGGACGTGACGGTGATCTAGCATTTTAGCATACCGCCTTACTTCCAATGGTCGTGGGTTCGATTCCTCACACGGTACAAACATTTGTATTCATAAGTATGTATTTTGTATCTGTCTGGGTGTTTTCTATATATAATGTGTATGTGTATTAATTTACGAAAAAATATATATATCTGTATTTATCAATTATCTAGTACCCATAACACAAGCGTTAGCTAGCTAAACTTAGGACTAGATGGCGCTGTGTAAGCTTTGCCGAATTTTCCATGTCGCATAATGTTGGTAAAAAACGGCTACAAGTTTTTTTAGTTTTATATATTAACATATATAAAACTAGGTAAAGTAAGGTATATTATCTTTACACTAATTAAACGTATGTTTCGTAATTAATATTTATTTTCTATTGTAGAAAATAGAATTTGTAATAAAATATTATGTTATAAGGATTCAGTAATTTAAATAAAATAAAGCCATACGCTCGAAGCTGAGTTTTAAATTAGTAATTGGATTTCATTCACACAAATGTTCCATTTAAGTCGGAGTAATGAACTGTAACACCTGAAGGAATCCCGATAAAAGCATGTTTACAAAAATAACGATTCCTACGAAATACATTTACAGTCAATGAAGTAACGAAAAACCGAGAAGTTTCTCAATGGTTACGTAGATTCTATATTATGTATAGTATTATTAAAGTTTCACATTTATATCACAACTCACAATAGCTATATTCTCTTTGTACCTATTTACGACTCGTTCAACTGAGATTTTGTGTTTATTACATACATATTTTCCGTATTCTTCATATTGTGCTCAATATTATACACATTTTATTACGCAAACTTTGCCAAAAATTTGGTCTAATATAAGCTAGGCTACACATGACAGTGAAATGAGGTTAATATTGAAGATGTCAAACAAAGGATTATTTTTTTTAAGTATATATGATTTCATATATTTATAAATATATATTCTTGCTATTCTTCATACTGTGCAATTAAAAAAAAACTGTAATTCAATTGAGTTTCTTGCCAGTTCATCTCAATTGTATTTGTATACTGAACTGGACGATAGTAAAAAAATAAAAATACAAAAAAATTACGTTCATCAGCGGATAAAATGTCCTACATAAATAAATGATTTTTAATTTGATTTAACATATTTCACAGGAATAAACAAACTTTAATTAATAATTTTGCAGAGCAGGGCTTGTATTGTCTTCCAACTTATAGAATACATTAATATATTTTTTATTGTAAATACAGTCGCAATGTAGGTAAATATATCTACTAATGCGTGCTTGTTAATAAATTTAAGAACCCTAAGCGGTTGGTATGCTTGTATTACCGTCAACGGTAACCATTCACCAGCGTGCCCCGCTAAAGCAGATTTCAGTCTAGTTTGAGTGAGATAACCACCACAATATGTTTTTAATTAATTAATATTATTTAAGCTTACAAACTTGAAGTAAATATATGAATAGTAAAGATGAAATGTGTGTTTCATATACTCATGTATATTATTGAATACAAGATATAATTACTAATTTGACCATAACAGTCCTACCTACTGACATTAAAAATAGAATCAACATATTGTGTACACAGTTCGGTTCGTTATAAAAGCTATAAGTGGAAAATGCATATATAAGTGAAAGAAGAAATTAATAGTCTTTGTGTAACATTGCTGTTGTGCTCCGAAGCATATGATAGTCACATGAAATGTATCGAGAAGAATAGCCTTTTGATTGGAATCCTCCCAGCATCCGCAGTTTAGTGATAACGATCACGATCAGTGTTAGTATGCGAAAATTCACTGCAGGCCTTTAATATTCTACATTGTTGAAACCTGGACTTTTCAGTGTAGGTAACAAGCATAGTGCAGTCGCTTTTGTTTTATTCCCATAACCTATGGTGAAACAATAACATCGTTTGTAGCACCGGTGTATAAAATGTTTCATTTTTTATCACCTATATCAATAACTGTGTTTACAATAAAACAGTTCCCGCGAATTGTGCATTGTGAAAATATCAATACCAAAATATGTATAATAAATTTGCATATTATACTTTTATTTCGTACGTTATCGTGTAATATACAATTTATATTGAACATTGATATTTTAAACATTCAATAAGAGCTATTATCCATTTTGCATATTGTGCTCTTTTCATGAATGTTACGTACGTATCAATCGCATAATGGAATTACTGATTTATTGTGAAGAGCACTTTACAAAATCAGATTCAGTTATTATGGACAATACTATTTGTAGATATGATTATTCGACACTTGTGGTACAAAGGACAAAATAATTACATTACGCGTATCTCGTTATATTAGTGTTTGTTTCATTGTAATGCTTTATTGTACAATACATAGTTATTACAGTACATAGTGACGGCCTCGGTTGTCTAGCGGTTTAGCACACCGCCTTTCTTCCGATGGTCGTGGGTTCGATTCCTCGCACGACAAAAACATTTGTGATTTTGGGTCTAGATCGCGTTTTGTAAATGAGATGAGATTTTTATTATATAAATTGCTGTTTTTATTATATAAATAAAAAGCTGTACTAATTCGCGGAAAAGAACTAGCAATTGTATGATATTAAGATTATAAGAGAACAATGCCGAAATTCTCTCATAGGAATCTCAGCTAGCCAACTTTAAGCTTTGACAACAAACAAAAACAATTTTATTATAAAATATTTAATACCAGATACCTTTTGTATTATTACATTTGGTATATCACCTATTTTAAGACTAGACATAAGTATTACCTACTATATAATACCTATTATTATATAGTACCTATTATTATTCATTTCGAAAAGTTTGCATTATGC